ACGGGGGGCATGCAGGCAGGCAGAGTATGGGGACCCTGGACTTTCTGCTCAGTTTTGCCGTGAACCTAACTGCACTGAAAAAATAAAGGCTATTAAAATTTTTTTCTGAAAAAGTAAACTCCAGGTTTCAATGGCAAATTGTACCAAATATTTAAAGAATAAATAACACCAATTTTATACAATCTTTTTTTCAGAAAATAGAAGAGCAGGGAACATTTCCCTCATTTTGTGAGGTCAGCATTACTCTGATACCCCTACCAGACAAAACCAGCAGCAGAAGGGAAAACTATAGAGCAATATCCCTCATGAATATAGACAGATATCATCAACAAGGTATTAGCGATTTTAATTCAGTAAAAATAAGAAGGAGAATACACCATGACCAAGTGGGGTTTATTTTGTGACTGCAAGGCCATTCAAGATTTGAAAATCAGTGAGTGTAATTTGCCCTATTAATAGTCAAACAAGAAAAACCACATGATCATATCAATTAATGCATAATAGTATTTGATAAAATTCAACATTATTCATGCTAAAAACTCCCACTATACTAGAATATGAAGGGAACTTCCTCAATATGATAAAAGGCATCTACAAAAAACCTATAGGATTATCTCAGACAGAGAGTTTTTCAGAACCAAGAACAAGATTATTCAAGAGCTGAGGATCTTGGGAAGAAGAGTTGCATCGAAATCTGTACGAATTTTATTAAAAACAGAAGCAAATCAGACTGTTTGTATTTTTTAAAAGTTTACAGAGAAAAACATTTCTCCTAAAGTGTTATTCTCTTTCACTAAGCACTGCAAAGTACCTTAATTAAGTCTTGAGATACTAATAGCCCTAAAAGCAACTCATAAAATGATATTTACTTGGGAGTAAAAATTGGAATGACATTTTGGGAGGGCAATTTGAAAATATTTTGCAAAAGCCTAACATGCATACCCACTGACTAAGAATTCCAGTTATAGAAATTTATCCTGAGAAAATTGGCAATGAGAAAAATACAAGGATGTTCATTATGATGTTGTGTATAATAAAAATAGAGAACACTGGAAATAGTCTAAATATCCAACAACATGAGGTTGATCAAGTAAATTGTGGTTCATCCTATTTTGGAATAGTACATGGCCATAAAACAAAATATTAAAATTTTATCATAAAGTTATGTATGGCAAGGAAAAGTATTCATTGTATATTGCTGGGGGAGAAAGCAAGTTATAAAATTGCGGTATTATATGATCTCATTTCTGCTTAAAATATGTCTATGCATAAAACTACTTGGAGGGGTATATACATGTATAAATTAATAGTATGTATGATTGCATTCTGGATTACAGGTGATTTTTATTTACTTTATTTGAGAAGTCTCTATTCTGGTTTTCTATAGTAAACATATTTTCATTACATAATAAAAATATTAAAATCTTTACTGGAGGCAACCATGTAACTGTTGCTGTTCTTCTACCTCGTGAGACTGAATACTGTAGGCACGAAGGAAGAGGGGTTGGGGGGAGAGAGGGGGAGAGGGCAGCAGGCAGACAGACCTCCACTGTGCATTATTTTTCATGTATATTTGGTGTAAAGTTTTAGGTTAATCTTAGATTTAACTATCTGGAAAGACTTTTTAATGGAACATAGTAGTGACCATTTAAGGTTCACAGGATTGCAATATAGTCTCATCGATTTAACTTTTTTCCTCTTCTTGGATTGCTGATTTTGTTGCGTCAGGAGCAGGTGGCTTTCTTTTTTATAAGTCTCTCGACTGCCTTGTCAGACACAGCTCTCTCAAAAGTTTTTGGGAGCTAACCAAGTTTTATCTAAACAAACCCAAAATGACATATGGACTTCATCCACATGGTCATATGAATCTTTTGGCTGATGACTCCAGCCATGTATCTAATTGGTTTTATAAAATCCATGCTTGAAGAAGGATTCTATATGAGAGTTTAATGCTGTGGGGAGAAGGAATGTGGTGGCAAACAGACCCTAGCTGCTACACTGGGATCTGGTGCCCATGGCTGCCACCAGGTACAGGCAGTGTATATCTCAACAAAGGGAAGAATCCTAATAATTTTGAGTGAAAAATTTCTATCATGCATTGCAGCTTAGATCTACTAATAACACTTCTTTAAATGTCTTGTTAGACAGTGAAATCTGGGAATAATTATCAAACACCATATATAGTGTTTACAATAGAATCATATTTCTTTTCTTTCTCTCCCCCTCCCACATTTTTTTTTTTTTGCATAAAAAAATAGAATGCTGCTGAATGGTACCCAAATGTCTGTTGTATACGATGCCAATACAGCAGCCCAGCCAAAAATGTGAATAGAACCATTCGCCAAGTAAAAGAAAACATAACAAATTGGTAATGGTTTCTATCTTGACAGAAAATGAAAATGATCCCTCAATGTGTGGTCACTCATGCGGACACATAAAAATGTCTTAGAAGCAATCATTTTACCTCAGATAACAGACCCTGACAGGGCAGTACAGCACTGGCTGACTTTCACTTCTGAGAAAAGCGGCAACCGTGACCTACAAAATACTCTGCGAGCCATGTAATTTATGCATAACACACATGCACACGCCGTACACTCATAATATTTGCTATAAATCATTTTGAATATAAGACTTCTTTTCTGAGTGGGATATACTTTATGAGAGATGATCTAAATCACCAGAGATTTGATAAAGCTGAACTGGTTTATTTATGAACAGAAATTGATGTTGGTTAATAAAGTTACAATATTTTAATAGTCTATACTGCAATAAAAGAGCATTATATAAGGGTCCCGGTTACTATATATGATTCTGTATAGTGCCTTGAATACTAAAGCTATTTTATTAGATTTTAGATAAATACCAAAAAAAAAAAAATTAAATGTGTTGGTACATAGTGTACAGCTCTGATTTTCAGTTTAGGAAACTGCAATTACAAGTAGAAATGAACACCTTGAAGACATAGTGGTTGTTCCTTTAACATATTTCCCTTTCCTTTAGTGCTTGCTTTTGTGTTCTGAGAACTGGCCAACATCACTGACCAAGGATTTTCTTCTCCTATCTTCTGAAGTTTCCCCATTTGGTTAATTTTCTAATGGGCATGTTAGAACAGTGATTGTACTGTGAAGTCACATCAAAAACAAGAATAACACTGCTAAAAACACTAATTGATATCTGAAGCTAATGAGGGATTCAAAATGAGAAAATATTGAACCAAAGGGGCTAGGAAGAACCTTGGGAAGTTAAATAGTCTTGACAAGTTGGAAGTAAATTTGAGTCTTGCAGGTTATGACTTTCAAATGGAACTTCTGGGTTTAAATTTGTTGGTGACTTTCGTGTTTAATAAAACATAACTTAAATGGTTTATAAAAAGGTTTAAAAAACTTATTGGGCATCAATCTGCTCTTACAAAACACCCTCTTGATGAGTTAAGCGTAAATGAATCAGAAACACATGGATCATATTTCCTTAAAAAATGTGTATGGATTCAAAAATAAGGGGAAGAGGACTTGGTAAAACGTGTGTGTGTGTGTGTGTGTGTGTGTGTGTGTGTGTGTGTGTGTGTTGACTGGTAAAACATGTGTGTGTGTGTGTGTGTGTGTGTGTGTGTTGACTGAATCCAAAACATTCAAAAGATATTTTGAGACATTCAAGGAATCCAAAATAGAACTAGACCTGTCCAGCCATATAAAAACAGAAAGCTCTCCACTATGCAGTGTGCATTTATCTCTGTGGGCCCATCAACACTCACTGGACCTTTGCCTTTGGCACAGCACTGCGGGAGGAGTCAGCTTCTGTCTTTAAGCAACTTAAAAGTTAAGTATAAATAAATATGTAAGTAATACAAACCTATTAAAGGGGACCAAGGGTTTTACAAAAAAATTGGCATCACAACCCAGATCACACAGAATCTATATATAGATAAATACAAAAGTACATTCAGGGTCCTAGGGTAGGTAGGATTCATTCCATTCAAATCATCATCCCCTCAACCCCTTTGATTAAAGTTATATATAGTTCCCGAGACTGACTTGCTTAAATGCTTTCTTAATGAGTGTTTTTCTGTCTTTTTTTAGTGTGTGTCTCAGCTCTCTTTCCTCCACCCATTAGATTTGTGAGTGCTCAACAAATCTTGCTGACTGGTTTCCTGGAGGATGGGAGTTTTGAAATAGGGGAGAGATGCTGTTTGGCAGAGAGGAGGGAGGCTATGATCCTGGGTTAGGGTAATGGCACATGTGACAGTTCAGAGGCTCCAAGGGTGAGTCATGTGTGGGGGTGACCCACAGGCTTGCCTGCAGCAACATGCCTCAGCCAGGGTGCAGTGGGAGACAGAGGCAGTTAGGTGTGGGGAGGCCTAATATACTACATGTGAAGTCAACCGAAGGGCAGGGGAGTGTGGTAAGGAAAAGCACAATTCTGACTTTTTTTTCTTTCATTTTGCCAGTGTAGGATAAAGTGCTAAGCATGGGACAAACACACGTCATTAATTCCTTTATTTCTTATCAGTGTTTTCAACAGCTGAAAAATATCCAAAGATAAAAATAAGTTAACTATGCATGCATTGCTAGGATCCTGTAGGTCATAAATTTGAAAAACTTAGTAGGATTATGAAATGGTTTACTGAGTTCTGAAATCGTGGTCAGAAAGGACGTATGAAAAAATTAATGATTTAGAATCTTTAAAGGTGCTTTTTTAGTTATTTAATGTGAGTCTTATCTTGACAATGATGTTAGAAAGTTATTTAGGGCAGGGACAGTGTCCTGTAATTCTTGTGGATTCTGCACTGGCCAGGACAATGCTGGGAACACACCACACGCTCAATACACGCGTACCCAACGGAAGTGAGGTCACGGGTGCTGAGGCTCTATACCAATGAGGGTGTGACTGAAGGTAAAGTCTGAAAAAAAGCCCCAGGAATGATGTAGGGGAAATGCCCTAAGTGTCTCTGCTCTGAGCCTATTTGTTCATGGTGAATATAAAGAAATCAATATGCTTACCATCCTTCATCATCTTCTACTTCCATTTCAGAAATGTTAGTTTCAGGAGTTTCAGCAATTGCTTGCGTGAGTTTTGATTTAAACTGGTTCAGCAGAGCAAGGGTCTGAAATAAGAATGAGATTGCTAAATTTTCTGATAAGGATAAATATTATTTTAGAAGAGACACTTAAATTAGTTAGAAAAAAACATATCCTACCAGGATAAATTTTTAATTTTGAAGGAAAACAACAGAACTGCCTTCCAGCTGCAATAGTGATTGATATTCACAAATCTTGACATTACCCTACTTGCATTTGCACTGATATTTTACCTCAGAGATAGCAAATTTTTTAATGTCTACAAGACAGGGAGGTATTTCATTAAGCTACGCAAAATCAAAAACAAAACACCAACAAACAGTGTATTTTCACTGAACAAATTTCGAAAAAGGTAAAAATATCAATTTTGGGAAAGGCAAAATAAATGAACACATTAACTGCTGTAAGATGGGTAAAATGGAGTGGTATCTTTAGAAAGTTCTTTATGTGCACTAGAAACTTTCACATGATCATTCCGTATGATTCAATAATTCCAAACCTGGGAATATATGTAGAAAAATAATCTAAAACACAGAAAATGGCTTCTGCAAAAGACGGGCACTGAAGGAATAGTCACCAAAGTGGGAAAATGGAAACATTAGATGTCTATCAATAAAGAACTAGACACATTTTGGTAAAAAGCAATGACTATACTATTTCAGTTATAAAAAATCCTAAACATGAAGCATTATATCCTTTGTTAAGTGAAAAAAGTAGGATATAAACATCAAGTTGAGTATGTTTTTTAAAAAAGGGGTCATTCCTCTGATTCTTGCTTGGCTCCCAAGCCTTTTGTGGGTACGAGGACATAACAAATGCTTATAACTTGATAATCGCATTGTCTCCTGGCTACACCTTAACAGTCTACTCCAGAACTGGAGCAGAAAACAGAAGTTAGCAAAAAGTTTTGTCTTACAGTTTAAAAAGTATATAATTAGGAAAGTGGAATAAAGTACTGTCCATATAAAAAAATCAAGTCTCTAATTCAAATATTAATACATAGAATTCAGCACTAAAATACACTTCATAAGGAAAATGTTGTGTTACAGTTCAATATGTGAGTGACAGGGATAATAAGGAGTTACAATAAATTGCTAGGTTTCAGAATTTATCTAGCAAATATTATTGAGACCACAGTTCATGAAGAAATTAAGTAGGTTTTGTTGGTATAGAACCTAAACTCAGTAAAGACAGGTGGTGCCAAAATAGAAAAAAAGGCAGTTACTGCTAACAAATGATAGTGAAATGGGCCTTGTATGTTTCTGCAAAATTTAAAGCCTACATGGACAACAGCTGAAAATACGCACATTTCCATGCTGCTGAATGAGATGAGTTTGAGAGAAAAACTAAATTCCTGTAGAAGATCCTTATAAGCATTCGGAGGGCAGCCTGGTATGTTAGGGTTCAGATATTCTATTCATTTCTAGGGTATTAATTATAGGACTAAGCTCTTCAAACAATGTTAACAGATAAAGAAAGCATCTCTTGTTTTTAAATCTTATTCATAAAAATAAATCTTTTTGCTTATAAACTTTTATTGTATTTATTTTAAGATAAGAAAAAGGTTTATTATAGAAATATTAGAGATTAAAGAGAAGCAAAACAAAAATATCCATTATGCTACTACTCAGAATAACCGTTGTCAGCATTTTTGTATATATCTTTCAAAGTATTTTATGTGTTTTTGTGTGTGTATATGCTTATATACTTATATCTATATTATATAACATATATCTTCATATGCATATCTCTATATTACTTAAAAGTAAATCTCATCAATTTGTAATGGTGGACTTTTGTACACTTGGAAATGTCTTTTCTGAGGGCATAAAGAAAAATGAAAACAAAGGAGACTTCTTAGTGCAATGAAATTTGAAAACTTCCTAGCAAATTACACCAGACCTGGACCTTTTTCCTCGAGTTGAAAGTGGCAAGGCAGCCTGTTTTGAGAGCCTGTTAATGTGCTACTGGCATTTCCTCAAAGACAGGAGAGGGGTGCCTGTGACAAACAAAAACCTTCCTCTTGGCCTTGCTTAGCTTCTCCTGTGTTGGGGACTGGGCTTTCTCTAGCTGCCTTCTAAAGGCAGGAGAACACATTAGGCAGAAAAGCAAACATCACAGATGTGATGGGGCACAATACAGGGTGAAGAAGACAGGGGCTGCACGCAGGCATTTCTGTTTGGCATCTAGAGGGGAACTGGTGCTCTGGCTTTTGCTGAAAGATAAATGGCCAACCACTAATAGCATAGCTCTTCAGCACAGTTAGAGCCTTCCTAGCACAGAGAAGCTGTTTCAAAGGGATCCTGCCTTGGGAGACTGTGCAAGAATACCTACATGTAAGAGTTTCTCAAATGGCCTCTGAGTCCCCAGTCCTGCTCCGGGTCCAGTCTATTCTTCCTACTGCAGCCAGGTTGGAGGGATCTTCTCAAATTGCAAATGAGATCATAAGACTTCTTTCCTTTCATGGCTGCCCATTGCCCTCAGGGTAAATCTAAACTCCTTATTAAGGCTCAAAAATACCTTCCTTGTATGAGCTGGCTTCTGCTTACCTCTCTAGTACCATCTCTCATTTATGTTCCAGTCATACTTAACATCTTTTAGTTCTTTGCAAAGAGATCAAAGACTTGTTTTATACTATTCCTTTTGTTTAGCCATGCATCCCCTATTCAACCTTCAAAGCTCAGTTGACAAATCATTTCCCCAGGGCGGCCTTCCCAGATTCTCCAGACGTGTGTTACGTCCTACTATTACACCTTTACACAGTTCTCTGTACCTAAGCTGTCATAATGCTCACCCCCTTTTATTGGTATTACTGTGCTTGTTGAATGGCTCTTTCCCCTGATAGCTCAGAGAGAGAGGGCAGGGATGTGTCCACCTTGTTTATCACCAAATTCAGTGATTATACATGGTAGGTTCTTTTTTTTTTTCTTTTTCTTTTATTGAACCTAGATAGAGGCGAAGGGAGGGAGAAAGAATGGGAGAGAAACATTGATGTGAGAGAGAAACATTAATCGGTTGCCTCTCGCACAAGCCCTGAATGGAGACCGAACCAGCAACCCAGGCATGTGCTCTGATTGGGAATGGAACTGGCAACCCACTGATTTGCAGTACGATGCCCAACCAAATGAGCCACAATGGCCAGAGCATGGTAGGTTTTTAATAATTATTTGCTAGGAGGGAAAAAGGAAGAATGCATGAATAACAGTGATCCTTAGCACCTTTGGTAGTATAGTCATTACAGTGTAACTCCATAAAAACAAGTTAATAATGTACTTTTTCTTAATTTTATTTGATTTTCCACTTCTTTTTTTTCTTTTAAAGATTTTATTTATTTAGTATTAGAGAGAAGGGAAGGGAGGGAGAAAGAGACGGAAAGAAATATTGATGTGAGAGAGAAACATCAATCTGTTGCTTCTCATATGTGCCCTGACTAGGGATCAAATCAGGGACCTTTCACTTTGTGGGACAAAACCCAACCCACTGAGCCACATCAGTCAGGAAGATGTTCCATTTCTTTTAAAAACTGTACAAATTACTTATCTGTAATTTATTATACATGACTTCTTGTTGAACTTTCCCTATGATTATTTTCATGCTAAGCACTGATGCATGATCTTTCCTTATCAGTAATTAGGTGTCATTTATAACATATATATCAGATAGAGAGATCGACAGATAGATAGATAGATAGATATCAGCACCAAAAAGAAAAGAGTTTGGTCTGCCCCCTAGCTTTTTAAATATGAAAAGCTAAGGAGATTATTTTATTGAGTGTCAAGTGCTGCGTGGTGTGCATGGTGGACTCCGAAATTGTTGAGCTAGCTCCCTGTCTCTTTTTATTCTTGACTTCTTACAATCTTCCTATATTACTAACTTAAAGATACAGGAGTTACCTGCAAAAAGCAGAACTTTGTAGTATTATTTACAATAGAAATCAACTAGTAGACCAAATGCCTTGTTTGTAGGCAATGTATCATACAATTTCAGGTGGAGCTGGCTAGTCAGCTTGTAAGATGCTGGGCCAGAAGAGATCCCTTCATCATTTATAGGCCCCCCTTCTCTACTTCATATAAATCTCTCAAAGGCTCTACCTGAGTATCTGATGATATGTGGGTTTAAAAGATTCCTGTGCTTGATATGGGAGCACGCGTTTAAAACCTAGAAGGTTTAGACTTTTCATCTACAATGTCTGGAAAGAACTCTTATCATCTGGACTTTTGCATGAGTGGCCCAGACCCTTGTCACCCCACCTTATATAAATACATGCTTTTTCATCGCAAAGAGATAGTGTTTCCCCTGACATGTAATCAAATTGGCTCCAATAACAGCACTTGAAGACAATTAAAAGGCAATAAATTACGTATAAATTTAGGCTGTGAAATTACCTGATCTTCCCGCGAAGTTCCCTTCTTTGGCTGCTGCTTCCTCAAAGCTTCATACTTTTGCTTTTCTCTTCTGTATTCTGCAACGGCACCACCTCCAGCAGTGTCTTCCTCTGAAGAATAATAGGTTTTTCTTAGAATAAATGGTAAAAAGACTCCAGTTTCCTCCAATTAATTTAAACACCAACCAATAAACTCCACCAGCTCCAACTATTTCCTAGATTAGAAAGTGACTGATGTTAACTCACCAACCAATTTTATGAACATCTTTATTATATACTGTACTATTGTAGTTGTTCTCTCTTATATTTGACTGTAAAATCACCTATCTCACTTTTATAATAATTAAGACTTTCCTGAAATTCAGCAATACCATTTTGCATTATTCTCTTGCCTTGTAAGATACATTCTTTCAGTATTGGTTGATTTTCCAATTGCCTGCCACTGTTGTTCTACAGTGAAAACAACAGCAATAATAACAACAAATAATTTGGTTTTGATGGCATCATACTATATACATATATCTAGCAAAGAAGTCAGGACAGTTACCAGAAGCAGGCAAAACTAATTTTTACTAAATTACATTTTAGAAAACAAATGTATGGATTTGATTCTGCAATAATTCCACATGAAGATAGTTAACATCTGAGTTCATAGAATACAGTTTTGCTTCAAAAACACAAGTACTGTACTGATATTTTACAATACCTTATACGTATACATATTAATGAAAATTTGTGACAAAACCCCCCCCAAAGCAAATAACCTATCTTTTTTCGTCTTTGACTAGTAAACCAAGATGAGACAGATGTAATCAAGAATCCTAGTAATCTTTCTATTCAAGCCTGGGTCTGTTGCTTGCCTATTTGTTACCTAGTTTACAGAATATTATTAATGTGCAGTGTATTAACAAGCAGCCATTTTTTTCAAGAACTATTTTAGTTTAAAAAAAATGTGTGAACTAAGAAACAAATAGTCTTTTTATGGTTACCTAATATCATGACTTTGATGTTGGCCAAAGGGTACAAAAGTGTAATCATGTGGGGTAGATAAGTTCTGGAGAGTGAATGTACAGTATGGTGACTATAGTTAATAATACAGTATTGTATAGTTGAAATTTGCTAAGGAATTGATGTTAAGTGTTCTCACCACAACCCCCTCACACACACACACAAATTATAACTACATAAGGTGAATTATATTAATTAGCTTGATTGTGGTAATCATTTCACAATGGCCTCCCTATTTCTTGGTCTTCTGAGATATTTAATTGCCTGGTTTAAGGATGTCTTTTCCCTCCTCCTGTTTTAACTTCTAGCCCAAATGCACAGATACACAGTTTGACAACAGCTGCAAGGTTGTCTGGTCCTTTTATTATATACGTTGGTGATACCAGGATAAAGCCTACTAAGGTTCCATCTGGACTGCATGAAAACTAACCCAACACTTTCACATGGCACACAGGGCCGAATGAAATGATATCTGCTGCACAAACCCAACTGTGCAAAAAATCTGGTCCAGTCTTATATTTCTTAATGGGTATATCATATTAGCATAAATTCCTTCTACTTATAAATGTGTGATCAACTATAAATGATCACAATATATTCACTTTTCATGTTTCTATTTTTCAGCAGTATATTCTGAGCTAATTTCCTTAGCTCTATATTACAGTTGACTAACTCTGTTTACTTGTATCTAACCAGTTTTTGAGATATAAACTCTTTGATTTTGATAATTACATTTAAAAATTTTTTAGATATTCTGTTTCTTTTTCAAATTCACCCACTCTTTTTGATAGTCTTTTATTATGATCTTTATTCCTTTAAAATCTTTTGTTTTTACCTTATATTTGATTGATTATGCTATTACAGTTGTCCCATTTCTTTCTTCCCTTTATCCCCCTCTGCCCTGTACTCCCCCCATCAGTACTCCTCCCCAACCACCCCACCTCAAGTTCATGTTCATGGGTCGTACATATAAAGTTCTTTGGCTTCTCCATTTCCTATACTATTCTTAACCTCCCCCTGTCTATTTTGTGCCTACCATTGTATTTTTCAGATTGTCCTTGGGGATCCTTCTGTTATGTCTTCTGACTCTCTCCCTAGAGTGGTCACTTCTCTATGTGCTTTCTTATTTTTAATTGTGAATTTATCTTCAGCTAGAGCTGCATCTCCTTCACGTTCCATGGGAATCCTAGGTACCCAGGATTGTGTAAAGATTCTTACAGAGGACTTCTGCATGTTTCTCCCAGGCAATTAAGGGGTGGTGTTGGTTCAAAGCCATTTTTCCCCAAGTTATTATCTTGGCTTAGAATTCCTGTATCGTATAGATGGTGTACATTAAAACTTTGTAGCCATGCCTGCTAGAGGTTTAGTGTTTTGATTTTGATTTTTTATGACAGACTTATCCCCCGCCACCCCCAGGCGCTCAAACATAGCTCTGAAAAACGACAAGCTTCTTTGTGGCCTTCCTAAGCAGGTAGACAGTGTTTCTAGTTTCTACCTCTCTTGACTCAACACCATATCTCTGTCCAAGTGTGAGGTTAAAACCCAGATTCTAGCTATTAGAGCCTACATCTGGTTCCAATATCCCCCTGGGCAACTACAGTGTCAGCATGCCCACTTAAAGCTCTGGGTATGCTTCCCCTTTGTTTTTGGTACCTAGAAAATTTCTTCTCTCTCTCCCCCCCTCTCTCTCTCCCTCTCCTCCCATCTTCCCTCCCTCTCTCATTCTCTGCAGCTTGGCTAAGTATTTAAATTGGGATATATCACATTTTGTCCAGCATTTCTATATATTTGTAGGAGAAGAAAGTTCTGTGTTAACTCACTCTATGTTGCCAGAACAGAAAGTAGTACATTTATTTCTCATGTGTTTGAATCTCCCTGAATTAACAAAAATTGAATAAGTGACTGGACAATTTTAGTAACATAAAACTGGCTAATACAATACACAAGCTTGAAAAATTCAGTTTCTCTAAGTACAGAGTGCTCTCAATATACACTGATAATTCATAAATTATAATGATATAGCATGATGACTATTTGTCATTAACTGAAATTTCTATAAAACAGATGCTAAATAAATAGCAATGAAGAATAGGGAAAAAGTTTACTAAGGATTTACTAAGGATATGTTAAGCATGCAAAGGTGCTTTGATTATTCATGAAGTATCTATAAACGTGTTTTACAAGTGAGGAAGCAGGATTCGAATATAGTATAGCTGGGATGTCAGCCCAGGTCTGTATGGTACTAAAGACCTATACTGTGCCCTACTGTCTTCTATTAAAACTTCAGTTCAGATAGTAAAATTTACTGTGTTCCCTGTATACCTGGCACCCTGAAAATTTCTCTGAAAGATACCCAAAACATTTTTAACATAGGCTTTTTGTTCTACAGAGTAAATGAAAGGGTAAAATGACTGTAACATATGTGAAAACAGTTAAGAAATCAGCCATTGATTATAAGTGTCAAATTGCTGATTCGTGGGTAAAATGCCAGCCTTCTTCTGGAGGGTTTAAAGCTTCCCTATGGTTTAGTGTTGGAATAAAATTTTAAAAATATCTTAGTTTTTTTCTGAGATAAAATTAGGTGACATATATGCAAAAGCCTGGTGAAGAGAATGTCTAACAATGCTGCAACCATTAATTTACTACTAGAGTGTCAGTTTACAAGTGCACCACAGCTAACCTTGAGAAACTTCTAATCTAATTTTTCAATTTTAAGGTGAGGTCACCAAAATCCAGGTAAATGGGGTTATTTAGCTAGTGTCCCATGTGGATGAGATGCAGTGCCTGGGCTAAAACCTGTATCCTGACTCTTAGTTTAGGTGACAGTTTGTAGCAAGACTTATGTCCCTGCATGTTATAAGAATGCCTTGAACCCGTCCCCTAAGAGCTAGTCAGAAACTTAACATCTGCTCCACTTGAATATCTTCATTATAAAATCTTTTTTTTCCAAGCATAAAGAAGTGATGGCTGCTCAGTTATAGGTTACTTGGCTAATGAACCAATGATATACATCTATGAATCTCATCTCATCGATCAAAGGGCTTATAACCCTCTACTGTCTCAATACGAGAGCTCAAGGAGCTAACAAAGCCAAGTAGCTACACATTTATTCATTTTTAAGAAAAAGTTTATTAAATGATTATGTATCAGAAACTGTCAGCAACACTGCTTATGAATAACTTTTTAAGTATCTGGATTCACTATTTCAAGGAAATTTTGGAAATATTCCTATAAAAAATAAAAGATTTTATATAAATAAAAGTGATGTGTTAATGAAGACAGTAAACAGTCTTCATTACTTGAAAACAACAGGGATAGGACTTCTGGCCAAGATGGAGGCATAGGTAGATATGCTTTGCTTCCTTGCACAACCAAAAGAAGGACAACCAATTTAAAAACAAAAAGACCCCACAACTGCCAGAAAATAAAACTGTATGGAAATCCAACAACAAAGGAGTTAAAGAAGAAACATTCATCCAGACCGGTAGGAGGGATAGAGATGGATAGCCAGGGTGCAGAGGGCCCATGGCAAGGCAGCGGCTGGTGGACTGGGTGGTCCCACATTTGCATTTGGATAAACTGGGAGGAACAACTGGGTAGCTAGACAGACCAAGCAACCCAGGGTTCCAGCATTGGGAAATAAAGCCTCAAAATGCCTGGCTGTAAAAACCTGTGGGGGTTGTGGTGGTGGGAGAAACTCCAAGTCTCACAGGAGTTCATTGGAAGGACCAACAGGATCCTGAATTGTACACAAACCCACCCACTTGGGAATCAGCACCAGAAAGGCCCAATTTGCTGTGGGTAGCAGGGGAAGTGACTGAAAGTTGGACAAGAGCTAAGCAAGTAGCATTGTTCCCTCTCTGACCACTCCCGCCACAGAATGCCAAAACACCAAGAAGAGGGCTGTCCCACCCTGACGAATATCTAAGGCTCCTCTCCTTACAACGTAACAGGTGTGGCAAGACAAAGAAATATGGCCCAAATGAAAGAACAGATCAAAACTCCAGAGAAAGAACTAAGTGAAGGGGAGACAGCCAACCTGTCAGATGCAGAGTTAAAAACACTGGTAATCAGGATGCTCACAGAAATGACTGAGTACGAAT